CGGGAACCGCGGGGCTGGCGGGGAGAAGGGGGAAAACGAGCTGCGCTGCGAGCAGGCCTCCTGCTTTTGTTCGCTTACCCGTCGTTTTAAATGCTCACAGTGCGTGAAGAGCGCGAGAAATGACAAAACAAGTGAAATAACTCTGAATTGCTGTGTCTGCTCGTGAGGGGCGCGAGGTGGGCAGAGCTGCTGTGTTCATGGTCTGTGGGCAAGAGGGGTGGTGGCAGCGCGACAGCCACGCCGGAGCAGAAACTTCTGTGGGCTCTAGAAGTGCTGCTCCAAGTAGAAAAAAAAAAATAAACAAGCAGATAGTAGTGACTGCGCTCCAGTGACAGTGCTTACTGTAATCTGTTGTTCAGCATTTGGGGCTGAGGTTCTTCATGCAGCTTCAGTCCCCCAAATAGTTTATTTCGTCACTGTTTTGTCGCTATCTAATACTTACTGCTCTCATCGTGGACTGCTGCATTTATCCAGATTGGGTTTTCGAATGGGGGAAGGAATTCTTAGGGCCTGGGTGGTGCCAGGTGTAGGTACGGGAGCGTAAGAGTTGCTGTAACAGAATGGGCCAGCTTTCTGCCGTGCATTTTATTGCCTTTTCTTGTTCTCGCCTGTGCCACGTGCGTCCAAGCGAGGGAAGAAAGTGTATGCTTAAGCCAAGTCTGCGCGAAAAACTGCATGGGATGTTTGTGAGTGTCAGGACCAATGGAAAATGGTGTTCTTTTCTCATGTTTTAAGTTCGTATCTTGTGAGTAGTTAGCTCAGAATGACTGAATTTTGGGAAGTGAAGCATAAATTTTGTGTGTAGCCCTTACGAAGACTGATGTTAGCTATGTATCGAATACACAGGGCATAGCTAAGCTTTTTTTTTTTTAATTCCTGTGTCAGTACAGATGGAACAAAAGGTATAACAATAACTATCCACTTTGCGAAAAAAGTGCTGTGCCAAAGTGGACGCTTTCCATACTCATGCCACCATTAGCCGTGTAGTCTGTACTGCCAAAACAGAAGTACCAACTAGTTTCATCTATACCAATGAGCAGTTTTTAGCTGGTCATTAAGCTCAGTTACTATCCACCAGAAGCCTTAGCTGAAAGAATCTGTATACTATTGCTCATGCAGATCACACTTTACTGTATGACTTCTGACCTACCAGTGTAGGAATGATAATATTTTTGAAGTTTTGTGAGAGAAATTGCTTGCCTACATTTTGTTGTGTGGAAGACAAGATTGACCCTTCCTAGGAATATAAATAGACTTTTATTGAAGTGAAAGGGTTTGGTGCAGCAAGAAAATTTAGCCCATGAATTGATAGGGTTGCTTACTTTTGTGCTTAATGGTGGCTTTAATGCTTTTTAAAGTTGTTTTTTGTTTTGTAGACATGTTTGGGAGCACATTTCACACAGCAGAAGTTTAAGAGAATATTGTACACAAATACTGTACAAAGACTCCACTGTTAGAACCACAACTGAAACACAGTCATACAATAAGTTCTTACCATTTGCTTTGTGACCACAATCCTAGGACAAGGAGGACATTGGGACCTCGTGACTTCTCCTATGCTCCATTTTTCATGCCTGAGTTTGCCATATTCTCATCTTTGAAGCTTGGGAATAGCCAGCAAAATCCTCACGAAGGGCAAGGGTGTTTTTGTCTAGTTCCTGTCTGTTGCGGTGCTCAGATCAAGCAAACCAAGAAACAGTTCTTGGGGCTGTGTCTCAGTCAGTGCCTTTAGAAACAGCATGTGCACTCTACGTTAGTGGAAAGGGAAAATGAAACTTGTGCATGCCAACAGGCTGCTGTCTTCTAGTGCCCTCTTTTACGTTTCATGGTTTACTGGAACGTGTGAGAGGCTTTTATAAAAATAGGAACCTGCTGCAAAAATTGTTCCTTGTAGAACTTTACAGCAGGGGATGGGAGGGGATTATGTAGTAGAATACATATGAAAATACAATTCAGCTTCCTTTGGTATCTGTTGAAAAGCAAACAGAAACTTAACTACCTGTAGTCTTCTTCAGTATTTTTTTCACAAGTGGAGAAACTGTCACATTTTTAATTTCTGCCAGTGTTAATTTATATTGTATAGTCAAATGAGTAGCCACATCAGCTTCAGTGGGTTTGTGTGTGTAAGTGCTGCTTATCATGACAGACTGATGGAACTGAGTTTAAACTGACATTTAAGAAGCGATTATCCACTCAGACCCTAAAAAAGAAACAATTTTTACAATGGAGAACTTGCTGTTGTATATAAATGTGAAGAATTAACTCTATTGATTAACTCAACTTTTAGAACAGCCTAATTAGAACGGCTCCTGATAAGGAAAGGTAGATTAATGACAGTGTTTATTGGGATGCAAATCCAGTGAAAAAGAACCAAACACCAACCGTGAGCTCAAGGCAAAAAGAAATACAATTTTGTGAATTACAATCGACATTGCTCAAAAAACTTACTTCCGTACAACAACAGAACTGCTTAGCACAGAGAAAGGAAGGGAGGCCACAGGAGCCGCTGTTTTATCCTGTTGATATAACGTTATTAATATTGATGGCATTTCTCCAGCAAATGTTTCACATAAATCATGTATCATCACTTGCGACAGAATGATGGCAGAAAGGAATATTACAGTTGCCCTGTGATCTACCTAAAGCTAATTGCTTGCATAGGTTTCATTAGTTTTCAACTGACAGGAGAAAAACTGATTGAAAACATGGATTTATGTTCTGATGTACGCTTCTCAGATAGGGTTAAGACTTATAAATCTCCCTTCTGTCCTTACCCGTTCCAGATCTCTGCAATATCCTTTTTCTTTTGTTTTGATTTCTTCTATCTCTTCCCACGTGTTGTCGGATTGTTTGACACATCTCTAACTCCATCCTTTCCATCTTCATACGCCACCCGCTGTCGATCCATTGGTCCTTCGCTTTCCTTGTTCCTTCCATATCTATTCTGTCTTCTAAGCTGTATGATTTCCAGGGCTTTCTGTACCCACTTAGGACTCTCACAGTTGCATGTTTTCTTCAGTACTCTGATTTTTAACTCTTGTCTAATCCAGTGTTTCCAGACCTACAGTCCTTACGTTCTGTTTCTTTGTTTTCAAGGGTGTGTTTCTAATACTTCCGTGAAAGACCTACCTAGCCCATCCCTAGACTGACGCTCCAGGTCTCAGCCGCTGCTGGTAGGTTCCTGTGGTTCGGTTTCTTATAAGGGAGCCCCACTGCCCGTTGCATGCAAAGGTTGCTGACGCGTGGAGTGCAGAAAGCAAAACCTGTCTGTCACAGAGGGTAGCCTGCCCTCACAGAAGAACTTTAAGACATAGTGACAGCAAAGTGGCACCAGGCAGTGGTGCAGCAGAGCCTACTGGCAACTACAAGCCTGGGTAGCTCTCAAACTACTAGAAATGAGCATTTTGCTTTTCTTTGACACCTGCCACTGCTGCGCTGCAGCAGTTCCTGCCTGGCGGGCCAGAATCCATTCACCACAGTGTGCTGCCGCGAGCATGTGTTGTCGGTCACAGCGTTCCTGGCAGTTTTGTCTGCCAGCATCAGCTCAGGCCTGCTGGTCTCCTCACGAGCTGTCGACTATTTTATTGTAATTCCTCCTCACTTCCTGTTTGTTGCCTGCCAGTTTTCTGCTGTTGCTGCCATTTTTCCGTTCTTCCCAGTCTCGCAGTCCAGCTGTCCCTCCCAGCTGCCGTGGACCCCACCATCTGCACACCATGGCTATTGGAGGACGTTAGTTAAATAACTAAATTGTCTTGAGACTGAGCAGCATGTAAGGGTAACAGCATGATCGTATTTGTTCTGGGCAATCAACTTTTATGTAATGGGAAACTCCATCCAAAGCCGGATCTTAGGAGAAAGCTGGGTGAGACTATCAAATACATAATGTTACCCTTGTCTCGTGTAGCACTGTGCAGAAACTTCACACTTCCATGAAACGATCCTCAAAAGGGCAAATTTGGCCCAGAGGTATTGTTGCTGGATGGTAATCTATCTGAGAAATCACTTTTCTACTTATTACAAACTCTTCAGTTTTTGAGATTCACATTCCTATTTCTGGAAACAAATCCATGACTCCAGATAATTAATTTTCTTCAACAGTCAACAGGAAAATGGAACTGCCATTTATCTTTCAGCTTGACTTTGTGTACAGACTCAGGCAATTACATCTTCGTCTTTTAGTTAATTTTCTCTGCTACAGACTCAGTTAAATTTACTTGCAGATTTTGGTTATTTCCTGAAAGTCTGCAGGATATGAGTAATTGCTGTTTATATATTAATTGCTGAAATGTTTTATCTTGACTTCCTAAGGAAATGAAGCTTATATGAGTAATCCATATGTTTGTGTGGATACTTCTTTATCTGTCGTTTACTCTGCCCTGTCTCTGTTGAATTAATTCACTAATTTCAACCTATCTGAAAGAGAAGGCGTTCGTCTAGAAATTAATTCTGTCCTCCGTAAATGCTGTGTAGTCCCTAATAGTTTTGGGGTTTTTTCTTCCTTTCACTGAGGAAAAGGTTGCAATATGAACCTTCCACCTGTTTGAGTCATGAAGATCCACACACAAGAGCAACGAGTGCCCCAGCCGTGGAAGAAGCTTCAGCTGGTGAACATAACTTATTGTTGTAAGCCACTAATGCACGAGGAACCAGCTTAAGCAGTTTTGCTGCTCACAGAATGCTAGTTTTGTTTGCTTGATTTTCTTAAAATCCTGAATGCTGGGTCGCATGGCATGCATGGGAATAAAATTAGAAAATAATTATTTTTATGATTATTTAAACACTTCTAGTAGAAGTCTAAGTTTCAAATGCCTTTAGCTGATTATCAGTAATTGAAAGATATTTCTTGCCTTTTTATAATTGTCAAAGGTTCAATCATACTTTTTTCCATGGGGTCAGCACATTCTTGTGGCTGGAAGAGGTCCACATCTGCTAGCTTTCCGCCAAGAAGTGCTATAAATGGCTGCTGCGCCATCAGTGCCACAGAAGAATGTGGGATGTGACACCACCTATGCTCTGTGCTGCTCGGAAGCCGTGTCCTCTGAGAGTTGAGGTCTGCAGGTGGGGCAGGTAAGAAAATGAGAAGCTCAGAGTTAGGAGATGACAGTACGGCTGTACTACCCTCCATCCACATTCACTCTCACGTCCTTTGTCCCGGGAGCAAATTCCGAGAAGTTGAAAGCGGCAGCAGGGGAAGGAAATACTCTGAGAAATTTGCCAAAATAGTGACATTATGATTGACTGAAGGAGCACAGCTGCCGCAGGGGAGGATGCAGACTTTGAGGGCAGGCATGAATCTTCACTGCTCCTGGGCGTACACTGTCAGGTACATGAGGATAACCCAGAAATCACCTTCTCCTTCTTGATCATTAAGCACGAGCTGTGCAGAGATTAGGGCACCCGGGAAACTGGAGTTCAGACTCGGGGGAGCTGCAGGAGAGGACACGTCCTTGTCACAGTATGCAAATACCATAAATTCTTACCACAGGAGGGAGGATCTACTGGAATGGAGCATAAGACACAGGTCCACCTCTTTGCTATGATAATGTTAGGCAGAACTTGGGGGGGGGAAAGGAAGAACAACTGATGTTCTTGAAATTTTATTACTGGATGTATTTGAGATGGCAATAACATCATAGCTGTGATGCTCTAAAGATATAATCAAGTGATCTTTCTGGGAAAGCTAATTTACATGATACTTATTTTGTTAGAGATGTATACAATTGATGAAAACACAGATGATTTGGAGAGTACATAAGCTCTTCAGCTGTCATACTGACATTTTTTTGTGTGATACTTTGAACTTTTACAAATATTTCACATGATCTAAACATACCTGTCTTCTTATATATCCTTGGTCAAATTTGCATCACAGTTAAAAATATATCTGCATAGCTTACAAATGAACTAATATTATTCCCTACGGACTCGCATCAGCTTACTTTAAGGTTATTATTGTTTATCATTTTTGTTCTGAAATGCAAATTCATGGTCCCACGTGTGGTAAGCCCTGTCATGTTAGTTGCTACAGAAATAAAGAATAGAAAGTGACCACAGGCTAAGTTAATACCTAATTTGTTTGTCATTTCATGCATTGGTGGAGTAACCTTACTGTATTTTTAGATTCCTTCTAAAGGTTTGCAATCAGCACATACCGTAATGATGTAACAAATTATCTAATCTTTGCATAAATGCAAAAATCGTTAACGTAAGCATGCCCAAGGTTATTTGAAATTGCATTGCTAAACCAGAACAGGCAGTAAGTCCCATTGCAGTCCATTTTAGAAGGACTGATCTTGTTTCAAGTTTTCAGACATGTACACAATTCTCATCTATTTTGAGGCCAATTCTTTCCAAAAAAGAAATCTAAATCTTAAGTGTGCAATTTTATTTTATTTTAGTGCACGTGGAGAGTTTGCCTGTTGGGCATCCACCTTGCGTCAGTGTTGTACTTCAACAAAATATGAAGAGAGTTACATAGTCACTTCGCACTTAACTAGCGTAATATTAGTTGGCCTTCATTGCAATGAACAGTGTATTTCAAGTGTATCAAGTGGTAGGAATGCCACTTCAGCTATTCTACCATGAGCAGGAGATCTTACTCACAGAAGAGTTAATTTTGGTGAAGAGGTTCTAACTGAGAGATTTTCCAGCTCTCATTTTCATGCATGTTGGTTGCAGAGCTGTCTGGTCATTTACATTCGCATATGTTTTGCCCATTAAATTTGCTTGTATGACAGAAGTTTTAAGAATTAAGGGCTTTACCAGAAAAGAGAGCTACTTCTTGGGAGGCCACAAGTGGAATTTACTGTATGTCAGCAACTCTGAGCTAATGTGGCAGGGGAACATATTTTCATTAAGAAAAAAAAAAAAAACCTGTGTTGTTAATTAACTGTCAATAATTTATAAGGAAAGTAACAAAATTACTGCATTTTTTACTCCAATTGAATTTGAAAAAAGTAAGTGTTTTTTCCCCTTTAACTAGAAATCCTGTATTCCATTTAGTTACAGTTGCAGGTCTTCTCTGCTCTTCTCTGTGCCTCTGCCCTTAAAAATTAATGCAAAACACTTGGGAATGCAGCTGACTGGGAATTCTTCAATGAAACTATTCTTTAGCTGGAAAATACTCATTCACCATATACTAAAGCTTTTGCAAGAACCTAGGTGCTTCAGCAGGGCTTTTACTGAAACGTAAAACTTAAAGAGAGCAAGAGGTGTAAGAGACAATAGCCTTGTGATCATGAAACTCTCTGGGGAGATAAGCAGCAAATTCAGGAGTCTCTTCTGCCTTATTTAGGTGTTGGGCCCAACATTTTTCCTTCTTGATCTTAATTTAGTCCCCTGACTGCTAGGTGTGAGAGAAACCGCTACAGAGCTGGTCCAATGATTGTTCTGTCTGTGTGGGATGCTGGGTACTCAGCTTCACGGCTTTGTTGCAGGGAATTTAAACAACATGTATGAATACAAAAAGCTGTAATCCATCTCTGGCTTAGGCAAACCACTGCAGAGTTGATTTCCTGGTGGTTGGAACAGATTTCTGGGACAGGGAGGAATGGCAGACCTGCAGACTGAACCTGAATCTGTCACATCTCGGGTAAGTTCCTCTCACTGCCAGACTATTATCTGTGCATCCATAAAATTTAAAGGGTTTAGTGTCATTTAATAAAGAAAAAGAACATTTAAGAAACCTTAAAAAGTTTTGCAGGATGAAAAAAACTTTTCCTAGTCTTCACCTGATATTGAGCATCTTTTGATCAATAGGGGACAGATCTAATAAAAAATATTTATGATTATAAAAATTTATCATATTTATAATTATAAACTCATTTCAGTTTGACTGGGGTTGTATTTATATCCTGATATCATTAAGAATTACTTTTGTTAGCAGTGAAATCTAGTACTCTGTGACCGACAATGTTCTGCATACAGAAAGGGAAAGTCTTACTTGAAAAATTTGAAAGAAAATTTGAAGAATTTTGTAAACCTGCCAAGACAGTGTTTTATAAATTTTTTGAGAAAAATCCAATGGCCCCTAAATTCTTTGCATAAGGTATAATCTTAAAACTATTAGGCAACACAATGTTGTAATTTTATAACAACATTCAGCTGCTAATTAACATAGTAACAGGTAAGTATTTGGTAAAAATAGAAATAAGTCTTAATTCTTTTTTGTCATGGATGTCAACATTTCTTTGCTGTGATTACATCTGGGCTATTTTTGCATTTTGAGGCTAACCATAAATTCAGATTACAAATGTTTGCTTCTAGAGAATATTTAATGGAAGAAGAAAAGCCTAAAATAGTATGTCTTAGCAGGTCTCTTCTCTTGTAAACAGGATTAACACAAACAGTGCTGCCAGAAGATGATTAATGGTTCTGAACACTATAGATCTGCATTATGTAATGCATCTCATATCCTTGAAATGAGGACTGTAATTTATTATTGTTGTCTAGAGCTAAAATTAAAACAGGTAATTTACAAGAATAGATTGTGGTGTTTTATAATTGCATTTTTTTAATTCATATGGTCTTATATTTGATTAAATGTTAGATCTTAGAGCAATGCGTTGTTTTCTGTGTAGTGATGCGCGATGGCTGGATGATCAGTTACACATTTGTTTAGCTAATCTGACCTCTAGCATATTTCTCATACAGTGTGGGACCCTATAATAGCACCACAGAATGAAACCACACTCTTCCCACCGAGAAGCACTCATTTCCTACTTTTATTTCCTCATCCCTACTCAGCCACATGACTGGCAGGGTTCGCAGCTACCCCTTGGGGTTAGAGCACACTCCACCTGCTCATGGGAATTACCTTCTGGTCTCTTGTCATCTTGCCCTTATGGGGGGCTGCCTTCTCACGGGCTCTCCCCGGCACCTCTCCTTGCCCCTGCTGCAACCCCCTGTTTCAGACGATGAATAACTTCTCTGACTGGCCTCGGCTCATGCCAGGTATATGGCTCATGGTGGGCTACAGAGTTCATTGAAAGGCATGACATTTCATAATCAAAAAATTTCCCTCTCTGAACTTCTCTGTACTCTTTCACAGAATTACAAAAAAATTTATGTAAAAGATGCCATATGGGAAAACCTGATTCATGGCATTTTTCTTTTTTTGTGGAAGGCACAAAGAATCCAATATTTTGGCTTGTGATACGGTCTGAAGTGCCCTAATCATTTGAATGGGAAATTCTATTAAATCACTGACTTATCATTCTGGAATTGCTCAGTGACCTCAAGTTCTGGAGGACAGATGTAGCTTGCCTTCTTTATTTACCGATGCTGGCTCATAAATCTATCTTGCTAGCTTGGACAACAGAGACAGCTCCCTTGTGGGCCACTTAGTTGAACTTGACTGAAGAATGTCTGGCCCCGGGAAGAAAAATATTTGGTTTCCAACAGAGAACTGGAAGTTTCTGTGCCAAATGGGACAGTGTTTGGAACAAGCTAGATAAGAATGGAGAGAAGATTAAATTATCACTCTAGGACTGAAATATAGATACCTAAAACCAAAATACCCATATGCAGGTATCTGTCTACTGTGAATGTTCTTCCTTTTCTATATTCAATCAGAGTTAACTGCCTAAAGCTAATGTGTAATCGTTGCTTGGTACTTCCTTTCAAAAATATAGGCACATTTTGTTAAAACGTGTAACATCGGCAGCAAGTGATACAGTCACCTCAAGCTATTTAGAAGACGACAAGTGTGGATCAGATAAGTCTTCAGAGACTTTACAGCGCCCTGCAAAATTCATAGTAGCCAGAGCGAAATGCCTTTGTATCTGGCGTCACATACAATTAAAGTATAGTCTGGAGGTGCTCTATGTCTGCTGTCCATCTCAGAGATGTGAGAATTTATTCACTATTAAGAATCAATATATTATACAGATTTTTAGTTTAGAACCAGCATATTTGAATCAAAGACAAATGCTGTCATCTGGTGAAGATTTCAGCTTTAATCACCCACTCAGATTTGAATTTTAATTTCCCCCTTCTAAACACACATCCACTCTATTTATGTACATGTGTATGTGTGCGAATGCATATGTATACATACACGTGTTATTTTGGCAATGGTATTCAGATCTTATTCATAATACTAATTTCCATTATCTGTCCCCGCATGTCGCACATCTCATTTCAGTTGACACAATATATACTTATAGATTCAGAATTTGAAAGTGATAGGAAAAGAAAATAATTCATATTTTCATTGAAGGTATCTTTTATGTAAGATTTTTATAAGACTGAATTGAAAAAGGGCAAAGGGAACATCATAAAGGTAAACCTACAGAATTTCATGGAATGTTATAACTTCGTTATATTTTTTTATTTATCTTACAGCTTTCATTAGGAAGTAACAGTCACATTACAGAATCTTGTAAGATAATGTAAAAAATAAAAAGGACATGTACTCCGATGAATTCTGTAAGTTTTCAAGTAATTTCTGTAGAATCCTACCAGCCTCCTCACCTCTGGTGAGTTCTAAAAGATTTTCTGTAGAGACTCTGGTCTTCAGTCTGT